GTTCTTTGCGAAAAGGATTGAAAACATTTGTGTTATGATCCATATACCCCATTAATGGATCTGTTCTGAACACATGTATTCAGGAGAATTCTGCTGCTATGAAGAATTCACCAAACCTCTGAGTTTGCCAATATTATTCTTGTAGACCCTCTCTGCCTTCGTGGGGAGAGGAACTCAGACGAGTCTATGCCTACGAGCTGAGTCTCATCTTGGGAGCTAGACAGACACCCGACACCGTGTATGCGAAATCTACGGGGAATTTTTGCCAAAACGTACGCACTCGGAATGACCCACATTAAAGATCAATCTTGTACTTCATCCCGTCTTGGTTGGAGCACTGGTGTAAACACCGAGTTCGCTAAACCTCGTCGGAGTCAAGCTTTCTGTCTTCGGACAGAGGGTAACTCAGTCGGGGCTCTGTCTAGCGACGGACACTCAGCTAGGAAACTTAAACAAAAATTCTAACCGATCCTACGAATGCGGGGACTGGGTAAATTGTGACCATTGGCCCGAATGAACATGCTCTCGTTCCCCACAGTATTTACAAGAAAAACGCATTAGTATTCCATTAGTTCGTCGCCTACCAACACAATGATTCGGTCGGCACCAAAGAATCTGTGATAAAGCACTACTGATATTCTCTTCCCAATGAAATTCTCGAGAGTTCCTTAATTAGAAATCAGAAATATTAGCTACTTTAAAATGAGAGGGATATCTGATTGATGAAAGAATGGATTCTGGATTTTATTTAAAGATATTACCGTAACATTTATGCTTATTTAAATCTGTTGTTTGAAATGGTATGACTGACCATGTGCATTTTCCTCCAGGTATTATTGCAATCATCAACGGATAAAATAAACACTTCACTTAGTAGAAGTTCCCTAAACTGTCTTCCTGGTGGTATGAAGTTGACAGTTAATTTGATTGATTGATTTGTTTGTTCAATAGCATATCAACATATTATGGGTCATTTAATGCCAAAATGTAATTTTCTTGTGAGATTTGAAGTAATAAACAAATATTAAACTTGTCCAAACAAGTCTTCGTTTCGTTGAATAAACAATCTCGTTCCAAAGAAGGTTGGTAATAACCCGCGGTTAGAAGGAACTCCATTTATTTTAAGATAAGAAAGGCGTCTGCAAATTGCAAAGCCAGTCCTGGACTTAAAAGAATATTTAGAAAATTTCCTCCGGGCAACTAGGATCATTACTGTGATCTGCGGTGGTAAAATGAAAAATTGTTCCTTATTGGAGACTCCCCAATTCGTCTTCCTAATGGCCTGAATTGAAGTCAACACTTAAAGACTCATGGATAGTCAACATTTACGAACAGTTACGATATAGGTTCATTCATTGCTATCTAAATTATAATCAACGATACGAATTTGGTTTTACGAATAGCACATAAGACTACAAGTGTTGAGCAACCAGTTACAATCAAACTCACTGTACCAATAATAGTGTGTGAGATCAGCTTAGCAACCGAAGCGAACAACAGTTTTCCGTCTTTGTCAGAGGTTTGGCATTGAATCATATTCATTGTTTGAATAAACATACTTTTTCCAATCAGAAGAGAATAATTTATGGATCCAAGTGCAGTAAGATCAAATGTAAAATAAAATGGGCTTTTGCGAAAAGGACCGGAATTATTAAGTACATTATCTACAAGAACAAACGTCTAACAACACATTTGTTATGTAGACCCAAAAGAAATTATAAGCACACACCACTGTTCTGCTGAAAATATTCTCTTTCCAATGAAGATCTCGAGAGATCCTCAATTAGAAATCAAAAATATTACACCCTTATGCAAATTAATTGAAGCAAAACGAATAATTAGGTTATATTTAATTTTTTTCTATTTTTGCAATGAAACATGACCCAGTGCACATGTTAGTACTTTGTATGTCCATTCAAATGAATTTATTCCTTGTAGAGTGAACACAGATTCTCAAATGCATTTAAATCAGGAGGGTTCCATGCCAGTCTATAGTACCCCCAAAATAGATTCATATTACTGTAAACCATTGCACATGACTTAATCTAAGGAAAAATAGAAATCCATTACACCCTGTCACCCCAGTGCGTTTAAAACTGACCGTATGTTGAATGAAAGGAAACTAAAGTGGTTGTTTCAATTAATTTGCACAAGGGTGTAGCTACTTTATGATGAGATGAATGTTCTTCAGGTGGTTGGAATATCGAACTGAACTGCTCACTGGGGTAGACTGTCAGTTATCAGTTATCTCCTGTTAATTCCCCTCTCCAAGTTCTTCACTGCCTTAACCAGGGATTGAACTCACATTCTTTGGGTCCTGTCACTGGATCTAACTAATGCCTTTATACACTGTGCCATGTTTCTTTGAGGATACATGACACAGTGGATAAAGGCGTTGGTTAGATCCAGTGACAGGACCCAAAGAGTTCAATCCCTGGTTAAGGCATTGGGGAACTTGGAGTGGGGAATTAACAGGAGATAACTGATAACTGACATCCATTAAACATTGCACTTGGAACTAGAACAGTCTATCCCAGTGAGCGAAATAAAGCACCTGAAGAAGGCCGGAGTGTACAACGGCAGAAACGTTGTAATATATATGGCGACAAAGATGAGGACATTAGTCCGAAAAATCTGATATATGTTTTTCTGTTTTTTACATGGTAGATGATATTCAGCTTTTATGTATATACATGCTTGTGTGAGCATAATTACCAGAGGTGATATGTGCGTTTTATGTTGTATTTTGTTGTTTTGAAATACAATTTGATTTCTTTAAGAAATTGTAAGATATTATATGGATTAATGTCATGAAAGCGTTCTTTCAGGTTGATTGAGGTATTTTTGGTAATTTTACTAGTAATAGGTATTGTTTGTAAGTTTTCTTTTTTAATATAAAAATGAGTTACCGGTATTTTTAATATAAAATGTATTTTCATTGTTTTGTTTTTGTTTAGGGGTTAACTATTTTCCCATAGCTGGGACTCTAACAGGTGAAACCATGCAGGATGAGGATGGATCTGGGTAAAATAGCAATTAACAGGTAGTTCCACGCACCACAAAACCTCCAGTCTCCCGATCAGAGGCCTTACTGCCGGATGCAGTTTATCGTCAGACCCAGGACTAAGTTGACAGTCAAAGACGAGACATTGCTGTGAAAATTCAGAAAGAAAAGACTTGGCAGGATAAATCTAGTAGGAACCAGTAAGAGTGACAGAGGACCTTAGAGATAAGATTGTATAGCTTTCCGTCATTTATTTTGACGTCTGGCCTTAGATGAGATAGATTTTAATTAAAAGACATAATATTCGGCATTTTGGAATTGGTAAATGAATTTTTAGGCACTAGTTGCTTTGTACCCGAGATAGACTGTCTATGGTAAGGATGATAAAAATTTACCCCCAGTTACGGATTAAATAATAAGACTTGTATCTGTGAAACGATTATTATCTAAAATAAAATAAAATTGCGAACAAAATATTTACATTTTGTCATTAAATCAACTAACCAACAATAGTTGAAGCCATAAAATTGTGTGCCAAATATTTAGATTTTGGCATTAAATAACCCATAGAGGTGTTGATATGCCGCTAAACAAAATCAACCAACGAACAATACATATTTATAGTAAAATGTCCAACAATACATTTTATTTTATGTAGGCATACAATTGCGTTCAGAATAAATTTAGTTGAAGCCATAAAATTATGATCAAAATATTTAGATATCGGCATTAAATAACCCATAGAGGTGTTGATATGCCGCTAAACAAAATCAACCCCCCCAAGCATTTACCCCAGCATCCACTCGGAAGAAATGTGACACAATGCCAGATTTCAAGTGGGAATCCCATGGGATTAGGGGTAAAAACTCTTCAGTTTTCCTGGCACTCTCCTTCTGAAACACCGCAGACACCAGGCAGTGACACTGACGCTCTTGTTTTTAAGAGAGATGCTGCCCAGGATAAGGAATACAGCATCTGAAATAGGACAGAGTCTGTTTGTGCTTTCGGTCCCTAAAAGAGGGCCGACATATTTGCATAACAAGGACTCTCTCTACTACCTCACTCTTTTCTCTTTTCTCTTCTCATTCTCGCTTTTGAGGCGCGCAATTTGATATTAAAAGAAACAATAAATATCTACGCCATGTTACATTAAGAATTCTTGAACTGACAGAACCGTTCGTTTCTCTTATACTAAAGAAAACAGGCAGCGATAAAAAGGAGAGAAGAAAACTGTTAAACCCCAACGCCAACATCAAGAATCAGCCTTGCCCCCTCCCCTCCTAAATAGGCAAAGAATGACGGCTCCTCTACCCTTAGTCCCTTGCTCTAATTTCATCTTTACATATATCACTGAAATGATCTATTTATCTGGCCTGTAGATGTAGAAAAGAAACGTCTTCATCATGAGAAAATATTGGATTGACTTTATGGATTCGGCTTGATGCCATTGTGTCTAAATCCCAGGAAAGAACCTTTCAGTTTAATTGTTGCAGAACCAGTACGCTCTTCCTACTCTTTGCTATCGCGTGCAACGCTGGTTTTAGAGAAATAGTAAATAGCTACAAGTAATCTGATAGCTTAAGGCCATATCACTTAAAAATCATCGTAGCATTCTGACACTTATATTTGTCACCCTTTTTTGTTTATCTGAAACTTAAACTCTTCCTAAAGTAACAACACCGAAAAAGATCGTCTCATCTGATGTCAATTGTGAGTGGTTGATTAATTGATTCGTTTTTACGGCTTATCAACCCTTAGCAGGTTATTTAAAGCCAGAAAATATTATTACATTGGAAGATTTTTGGAAGGTGGGGATAACAATAATTTAGTGATAAAGGTCTTACTAATTGACCCAAAGCTGGGGAGAGAAGAGGTGGGTTCATGCCTTTCACAGGGGTATTTGCGCACATGTGAATTTGACAAACACGACCAGAATTGGGACTTGTCTCTCCGATTATCAATTACGGGCTATACTACCCGCACATTCAAGCTTAGACACCCAGGTATTCTTCCCAAATAATCACCCATCTACGTATAGACCAGGCTTGACGTTGCTTAACTTCGGTGATCGTATGGGGACCGCTGTTTCAACGTGATACGGCCGTAAGCCTAATAGTGAATAGAAAAAATAATCTGACAGTTGAAAAACACTAAAGATATAAAGATCACATCGAACTTGTATCCTATACGGAACCGTCATATAGCCTGACGTGCTTTTACCGATTGAGCCACAGAGGATCGTCCGGTCGATTTTACTGCTTTCAAACTACAGTTTTCTCTCACGTACATTCATATCCACTTAAAGCGTATCCAAATGTAAACAAATGGCGTCACACATTATGAAATGGACAAAGTCCGACAGTTATTTAAGACATTTTTGTTTATACTTTCTTTTTGTAGATACAAATATTTAAGTAAATGCTCTGTTTATAATAAACAGTATTAATAACATTTACCAGCCTGAATGTCATAGAAAATATAGCCTAACGTGCCTTAACCGATTGAGCCACAGAGGATCGTTCGGTTAACAAGGTCGATTAGTTTACATTTGGAGAGGCGTTGAGCAGATATGAATGCATGGGAGAGATTCATGGAAGATTATAGTTTAAAAGCAGTAAAATAGACCTTGCTAACCGAACGATCCTCTGTGGTTCAATCAGTTAAGGCACGTCAGGCTATATGACGAGTTCCGTATAGGATACAGATTCGATTTCTTGTTGGAGGACGAATATTTTCTATGAAAATTTCTCGGACATTCAGGCCGGTAATACTGTTTATTATAAACAGAGCATTTACTTGAATATTTGTATCTATAAAAAGAACTTATAAACATAAAAAATGTGTTAAAACATTAATGACAAATTACTGTTAAGAAAAAATAAAAATGCCGCTTTTTCGTCATAGTTTTTTTTTTTTTTTTTTTTTTTTACAGTAAGATTCATCCTGTACAAAGCCGGATCCACTTGAGATAGAGGTTAACGATAAGTGGTAATTTCTATAGATAAGACGGTAAGATAACGGTTGATTCTAGACTTGAACAGTATAAGATTGTCGTGATAGGAGGGTGGGGATCCTACGGCGAGTCTTTTCCATAGGGTAGTGGTTCGCGAGAAAAAGCTGTTTGATAGAACTTACTTCTCGCCGATGGAAGAAAGAGTGAATGTGGGGGATTTGTTACTATGTAAGTGTCATGGTGGGTCCTAACCGTGAAGATTAGACCTGGCGGAACAGTGGGGGGGGTGAAAATAGCTTATTCTGTCTCTGAGTACAAAAGTATATTTACCACTTGTCTTAGGAATATCTAAAATCAAAAGCTCATTGCAAATTAGGGCCATATCACGCAAAAGTACACTTTGGAACAGAAATAATTGTTCTAAATATCCTCTCATGTCCATTATTCTGATATTAGTGATGAATATTTTACTAACAAACCGAATGATTAAAAAAAGACAATCTACAATAAAATTCATTTTTCGAGAAAAAATGTTCAAGATCTCGAGAATTTATGTACGAATTCTTGCTTCTGTTTTTACAGGTCCAGAAATATTCACATCAACACAACTTTGCATCCAAGGTTTATAATATGTCTATATTTCTGAGATGAGGTATTATGTACACTATTTACATTATTCGGACTATTGTCCTCATCTTTGTCGCCATATTTATTACAATGTTTCGGTGAATTAACAGGAGATAACTGATAACTGACATCCATTAGACATGGCACGTCTAACTAGAACAGTCGACCCCATCGAGCGAAATAAAGGTTTCAATTCGACATTCCAGCCACCTGAAGAAGGCCGGAGCGTACAACGGCCGAAATGTTGTGATAACTATGGCGACAAAGATGAGGACAATAGCCCGAGTAATGTAAAAAGGTATATAATGTACGTTATTTATCTAGATGTACAAAATATATGTAATTTTAAAGTAAAAAAGAATTAAAAAAACTTCATTTTATGCAGACATTTATAGGTTATAGAACCCAGTCTGCCCTGCTATTCAATACATAGCTGGGTAGAGAAAAGATGGATTCATACCTTTCTGTAAAACCCTGCCTTGAATGGCTCTTGTACTGGAAAAATAATAGCAAAATATAGGTCTTGGCAATTCAGGACCAATAAAGGGGTGTGCGTGGATGGATGGACGGACTGACAGACATACATTGTCAGTTAGTAAAGTTCCATACGTGATACACGATTGGGCGATCATGTCTCTTTTGATTCATGGATAAGCAGGAGATATTCCCGCAGTAGGTTACCGTTTCTTTCTGCGATAGACTGTCACCAATGGCTATAGAACCTAGTCTTCCTTGTTATTTAACTCATAGCTGGCTGGGAGAAGAGGTGGATTCATTACCTTTTGCAGGGTATTTTCGTGTAACGTACTTGACTGGAATTTGAACTCGGCTCTCCGACTTCTCATTCCGAGCCGACATCTAATACGCAGCAACGCACACCCTGTCAACTACAATCTTTAACATCAATTATCATCTTCGGATTCCTTGACTCCTGTTCTTTTATAGCCCGTTCTACTCAATGTTATTTTTCCAGTTCCTTTCACACTCCGTCTAACTTTGGAGGTTTTATTGCCTTACTTAGTATCAAATGAATAAAAAGACTATTGTCTGTGTAAATCGCTCTTACACACATGGCTTCTAGCTTTCCAGTCAACACAGAGTCATTTATCCTATTTTCCAGTGTAATTCTTTTTGGTGTGCACGCTAGTACAAAGTTGGTCATACAAACAGCTTCCTTTGGCTTACCTGTGTACATTTTTGGTGTGCATGTTCTTTGGAGAGTATAAAGTTGGTCATATGTACAGCCTCATTCCACTTACCTGTTCGTCTCTGTTATTCCTTTTGGTATAGTAGCCCTTGTAGCAGGTACATCTACGTCTTAGACAAAAATAACGGTGCCAGTATTTACATATGACAGAATTTGATATGAGTCTCGATCTATCTTCGCAGAATCACAAGATACGTATTTTTTTTTTTGCATTATTTCCAAAAATATGTATACAAAGTGTAGAAACATTAATTTAACCCGAGTCCTAAGTACACGAAAAAGTACTACACTGGTCCGAGCTATTATACGAGCTTTAAAATTAAGATAAACGTTCTCCTCGGTTTACTGGCACTACTGAGATTACCAATGAACCATAACGACAGATTTAATCATCTAATATTAGGATTATCTAATGACTGTTGGTAGTTGAAGCTTTACGGTAATTGCTAACTTATAACAATTTACTAATCATAGTTTAGGTGTGACAAGGCCGAAGTTATGGAGCACTTAGTGTTGTAATTGATCTAACGAAACAAGCTTGCTAACCCTTATAGCAAACCGAAGTGCTCTTTATTTTCTTGGTGGGAGATACGGAGGAAAGGTAGTATTGTGGAGTATTTTCACAGTGGAGGCTTGTATTTCTAATAAGTCGTACAAAACGTTAGAAACATGGAATACAATAGTCAATGACGCAGCAAATCTAGTTGTGATGGTTGGTACTTCAAATGTCCGAATCTCGACTGACGTTCTCAACACCGTTCTGCCAGACTTGCCACTGCTACTCCTACTTATGGGAGAGTCCATTACCAAAGAATAGGTACCTAACAGGTAGGTAATTTACTAGAATGTAAGGGTCATGACGCGTCTTTGCCGTGAAGGTTATACCTGGTGGGACCAAGGCGCGTAGTTCATCGAGCACTTTCCGTGGTAGTGGTGATCGATCAGTCAGAGACTCGCTGCATCTCGCTTATGAGAGAGACGTTAGAGGGCGGGAAATAGTTCTTCTCGAACAAGAACTCGGAGACGCTTTTGAACTCTATCAAGACTGCAAAGTGACGACCAGGCAGCTCCAGCTCAAATATGGCAACAGTACTCCATTTTTGGCCTGATTTGGCTCTTGTAAAGATAGAAGATAGCAGGTGGAGTCAGGTAAGCGATACAGAGAGCCGACCATTTTACTTGCATCCTTAGCAATGAATCGTATGTACGAGTTCCACTTGAGGTCAGATACGAGTTTGAGGCCCAAAAGTTTTTCAAGGCACGGTGCTTCCACGAAGGGACGTTATTAAATAGCGACATTGGATGCCTCATTCATAATGTAATGTCCCGCAGGTTGAACTTGTAGGTCATTCATAGTTTGTTCTCATTGGGTACCCCATACTTGCGGCCTTGTGCCAAACTAAGCAAAGTTAAATAACTAGTAACAAAAGTCTTTCAAAAGCGTATTTAATTGTAGACAATATGTTGAAAATAATTCTACTTTGGACAACGTTATCAGCACTAGGATTTATCTGAACTGTTCGGAAAACCAGACCTACTTGGAAAGGATGTTAGAATAATCCAAACATTATACTGGAAAAAAAAAACCCGCCTGCATACGGATAAAAAATGAATTGAAGAACTATATATATATATATATATATATATATATATATGAAGAAAATATCTGGAAAAACAAACAAAAATCCTTAGAATGTGATTATGTTGTTTTAATATGAATGAAATGTCGACGTCTGACGTTTCGGTTTAATAACCTTCTTCAGGACAATATTCATTAAAAATATATATATAAAAGAAAAAAAAAAAGAAAGGAGTATTGGATGATGTGACATCTTCTCTCCAGAGTTATTCAACCTCTACAGCGACGGTATCCGGAGGGAACTAGAGATCCGGTTCGGATTTATTATTGGTGGTCGCAGTTTTAACAAGATAAGATACGCAGTTGATAATGTGATGATGTCCGACCGTGAAAAGAAAGTACAGGACTTCCTAAATAATTTGATAGAAGAATGCGCCGGAAACAGTGGAACCACGAACGACAAGAAGACAGAAATTAATGATCCTCTTCTTCTTCTTTTATGTACCGTGTCCATTCAGGACGTAGGCAATCATGGCCCTCCACATCCTCCTTTTTTTCTATATATATACCAACGGACTTATTACCTGCACTATATATATATATATATATATATATATATATATATATATATATATATATATATATATATATGTTATGGTCCAAGTTCCTTGTACCACGGTGATGGTCCAAGGTTAGAACCAATGAAAGAATAACACGAACACAGGTATGGAATACAAAGAT